CATATTTATTTAGATTTACTATATTTTACCCCAGAAAATAACAAATGGCCAGAACAACAATTTTCAAATATTGTGTTTAAAAATCTGAATTATTCAACCAAAAATTTATTTCTTAACAGTCCTAAAGTTAAAAGAACACACTAAATTATAAGACAAATGAAATATGTGTAAAAATATCACATATCAATATTTAGTTAAGTTTAATTTTATTCAACAAAAAAGCTTAGAGAGAATCTTATCAGTAATTTATATTATAATAATTTAAAAGAAATGTTTTACTCTCATAACTACATGCCTATACAGTATATCAAAAATCCAGGGACACTATTTTTATTCATTCATTTTCTTGTCGGCTTAGTCCCTTCATTAATTCGGGGTCGCCACAGCGGAATGAACCGCCAACTTATCCAGCAAGTTTTTACGCAGCGGATGCCCTTCCAGCCACAACCCATCTCTGGGAAACATCCACACACACACACTCATACACTACGCACAATTTAGCTTACCCAATTCACCTGTACCGCATGTCTTTGGACTGTGGGGGAAACCAGAGCACCCGGAGGAAACCCACGCGAAGGCAGGGAGAACATGCAAACTCCACACAGGAACACCAACTGAGCCGAGGTTCGAACCAGCGACCTTCTTGCTGTGAGGCAACAGCACTACCTACTGCGCCACTGCCTCGCCCCACACTATTTTTAATGGTTTTCTAAAATACTGCAACTACATTTAGTATTTTACAATTCTCTTGTCTAGTGCTTCAAAACCAGCACTATATTAGTAAATCTAAAAACATGAACCTGTTTGATTTGAGAGGCTCTCCATAAGCAGCCTGCTGAATGGCATATTCTTGATATCCTCTTTTAATCGCTGCCTCCTGAGAAGCTGCAGTGGCGTCAGTCTGAGTAGACGGTGGTTCAGCTGGAGTTGCTTCAATGGGAACAATCTTCGAGGCACCTACGACAAAACACAGAAACTTACAGTCAGTGTCAGTGTTTCATTCAGTGCTCAGAGCACCTGACAGACAGAGCATGTGTATCTCACCAGGCATGGCCTCGTGACTGGTAAGGACTACACTAATAATAGGATTTTTGTTGCCGCTTGTTGATTCTGCGTCCTTTGCACTGGACACCTTATCTGTCCGCATCGCTCGAGCTTTCTTTGGCGTCCGCTCTCTGTCTTCCTCTCCATCACTGATTCTTCCTGCATCCACATTATGACCTACAGACAAAAAAATTAATAAATATATTTACACATGTGCATGATTTCTTTTTTAAATGCATAAATAGTTCCAAGCAATTACTAGAAAAATCTACACTCCGTCCACATTATTAGGTACACCTGTCCTATTGTTCGTTAACACAGATTTCTAATCAGCCAATCACATCACTCATTTAAACCGAGCATCAGAATGGGAACGAAAGGTGATTCAAGTGACTTTAAATGTGGCATGGTTGTTGCTGCCAGACGGGCTGGTCTGAGTATTTCAGAAACTGCTGATCTACTGGGATTTTCAGCCACAACCATCTCTAGGGTTTACAGATAATGGTCTGAAAAAGAGAAAATATCCAGTGAGAGGCAGTTCTGTGGAGGCAAATGCCTTGTTGATGTCAGAGGTCAGAGGAGAATGACCAGACTGGTTCGAGCTGATAGAAAGACAACAGTAACTCAAATAACCACTTGTTACAACTGAGGTATGCAGAAGAGCATCTCTGAATGCACAACACAGCCAACCTTGAAACGGATGGGCTACAGCAGCAGAAGACCACATCGGGTGTTGCTCCTGTCAGCTAAGAACAGGAAACTGAAGCTACAATTTGCACAGGCTCACCAATATTAGACAAAAGACGATTAGATGACCCCCTTTATGACCACAGTGTAACCATTTTCTGATGTCTACTCCCAGCAGGATATTGTCACTATGTTATAAAGCAGGAATCATCTCAGACTGGCTTCTTGAACTTGACAATGAGTTTACTATACTCATTTGATCCACCAGATCTCAATCCAATAGAGCACCTTTGGGATGTGGTGAAACGGGAGATTCGCATCATAAATGTGCAGCCAACAAATCTGCAGCAACTGCATGATGCTATCATGTCAATATGGACCAAAATCTCTGAGGAATATTTACAGTACCTTGTGTTACCTCCGAAGGCAAAAGGTGGTCCAACCCGGTACTAGTAAGGTGTACCTAATAAAGTAGCCGGTGAGTGTATATACTATATAATAGTTATGTAATATTATAGTCAGCTAAAATACTACAAAAAAAGACAATATTTACCTGAAAAAATAACATGATTGTTAACAATTTTATAAATAATTAATTCCATTAAATATTAAATTCATTATATTAAATTTACTAATAACTAACTGCCATTAACAAATATGTAAACAACCATTTCAAGTCAATTAATAGTATAGATATTAAATGGACATTTCTATAGACATTCCCATTATTATGTCTGCTCTTTGTCTTCCATCGCAGATTTTATTTCATCAGAGCAGTTCAATAAAGTTAGCAGATGACATTTTTGAGATTTCAAACAGAAGAATGAGATCACACATAAATAAATGGAAATGTCTATGGAACCAACATAACAAAAATTTGTACCATTAAACTCTTCTTCATCAGCAGCGTCTTTCAGTCCTACAAAACAAATGTGTTTGGAGATCTGTCGCCGGTTGCTGAACATGCGATTGCACTTCTTGCACTCCAGATCATTGGCATCCTCTGTCTGCTCTTTAGCTGCTGTAGCCGGCTGGCTTTGACTGGACTCTTCTTCCTGCAGACCGCACGTGTTTTTCTGGACCTTTTCTAGTTGGGCTTTCTTAGTGGAGCCTTTGGGTCTTCCACGCTTTCTTTTCACAACGACTTCTAAAAGATGTACAAAATGACAATTTTGTCCTTCAATGTTTTTTTTTTAAACATAAGCCTCAAACTTAATTCCTGGAAGGCCGCAGCTCTGCACAGTTTTGCTGCAACCCTATCAAACACAGCCGATCCAAATAACCAAGGTGTTCAAAAGAGTCAGGAACACCTTAATTAGCTGGATCAGGTATGTCTGATAGGGTTGGAGCAAAACAGTGCAAAGCTGTGGCCCTCCAGGAATTGAGAGTGAAACCTGTTTTAAAATAATACCGTCTGGATCATATTATGAAACAAACTTTAAATTGCAATAAAAAACTCTGGACTGACATTCATTTCATTGTTTAGATATCAGTAATGCATAATGCAGGTGCTCGTGTGCTCTCTTTATAGCGGTTTACCTGAATTCTGGGTCTCCTGAGTTGTTAATGGTTTAAGTGCTATAATGAAGGTCTCAGGATCTCCTCCTTCACTGGAGTGAGCCTCAACAACATGAGAGAGCAGCAGTGTTTTTTTGGGAGAGAACAAGTTGCAGCCTTTGCACATGAAGACTGACGAACCATCTGTCAATGTAAAAATAATTATTATATTTATCAAATGATCCTGTAACGTTATAACTATGAAACGAGTTCAAACAAAAATAAACATTATGTCCTCATTTACACACCCTTTAATTGTTTCAAACATTCATGAGTTTCTTTCTTATGTTGAACACAAAAGAAGATCTTTTGAGGAATGCTGGAAACCTGTAACCATCGACTTCCATAGTGTTTATTTTTCCTTCTGTGGAAGTCAAAGGTTACAGGTTTCCAGCTTTCTTCAAAATAGATTATTTTTTGTTTAACATAAGAAAATCATGAATGTTTGGAACCACTTGAGGCATGGTAAAAAGTACATTTTAATTTTTTTGTTCTGTAATCTCTTTAAGCAGGTTGTAAATATTACAGCAGGCTCTAATAAAATATAATGTGAATTAATATTTTTATGTGTTTTGTTGTGAATTTACCATAAACCACACATTTTTATTATTTTTTGATAGTTTTTTTATGATCTTAAACAACTGTTTCTTAAAGACCTGAAGGAGTTCGGAAGAGTTTAGATTTTAAACCATTTCAAATTGATGTTAATAATCAAATATTATGGTCATTACAATGTTATTTAATCATAAGCACAACACATTTTATTTATTTCACAAGAAGTAATCAATCAATACGTTTGACATGTGTAACTGTCACATCAAAGATTACTTTATCCAGAGCAAATACATGTTGCATAGTGTTTATTGATATTTTAATGCTCCCATTCTTTTTCCTAAAAGAGAAACAAATCTCTGCCCTTCGATTTTTCTAAACACAAGACCAGTTTCGTGTTTTTCTCTTTGACACTTTGAACTAGTTTCTAATAAACAACGTGAGGTTTAGTTTAGAAACGCTGTTATTTCAACTACCAACTACAACCATACAGCTTAAATTTTAAATTCAATATAAAGCATCGTCTAGCAAAAGTTACTTTTGCAAGTGCAAGTCGCTAGTTTTACCTAGTTTGTCTCCTATGGAATCATCAGAACTAACGTTAGCCGTTTCCTCAGAGCGCAGTTAGCCTAAAAAACGTCTTTCTGCTTACCTGCTTGCGCTGTATCCATTCTTTTTAAATCAGTAATGCATAAAAACACCTCGGAAATATTTCTGATCTTTGTTCTTACAACTATCGAGCCATTTTAAAGCATTCATTGTGCTTAAATTACTTCTTGCAGGGGTTTCTGTCGAATCTGCGACAACAAATATGGCGGATGGATCTTCGTCTTCACGCAGAAAGGCGTCTGTGAAATAGAGCGCGCCACCTGCTGTCCGGAGTTCATTTGAGCTTAGAGGTTAAAGTCGCTGTGCTCTTGAAATCAAGACATTTCCAGTCAACGACGATTATAAGGTAACATTTAAAGGCTATTGTGTTTGTAAATAAATACAGCGACTAGGCACCTCAACACGAGCATCAAACTAATAATAATAACAACAAACTGCACTCAAATTACAGCTTAGATGTGTTTATTTGGATAAAAAGGTGTTCATTGTGGAGTAAAACATTTAACAAAACAAATACATGTATATAATCTTTATTTTTCCTCAGTGAGGAGCTCCAGACAGTCACAGCAAACACCCTCCGCCCAGCCTCGTCTGCAGCTCACAGCTGAGTGTAGGATGTTTACAGCGACTACACTGGAAGATGAAAGTTTACCACACAACACTCACGACAGCTCAGCAGATCCAGATGCCACACCTGTCAACTCTTTAACACAAACAAACAAACAAAACATGTACACTGTTCTTTCTTAATAATGTGTAATTGGGTTATGTAACATTTAAGACGCAATACTGTTTAATTACACACACACACGTGATAAAGTAATACAAGGCGACAGAACTGGACGATGACAGCAAACATCCAACTGAAAGCTCGTTTTCCGCGTAGCACAGCTTCCAGTCGGGGATGTTTACAGGCATGAACAACCAGTTATACCCATATACAGCACACACAACACAGATAATGCCATACAAACAAACATGTGTGATGATAAACTGACTGCAAATCAAATAAATCAACGAATAAATATCTATGTGGTGGGTTTGCTGCCCCCTAGAGGTCAAATGAGAATTAAAAATACAGCAAAAGCCGAGTTGAAAGTTAAAGGTCCTCTCTCCTTCACGTCAATGACAAAGAGACCGCGATGAGGATGAAGACCTTGTAAATCTGCAGTGTCTATTCACACATTTTAATAACAACGACAACGTAAAATGTGTGAGTCTACCCAAAAAATATCTTAATATTTAAGTTATTAAAAAACATCAACAACAGCTGGATAAAGTGCAATCTCTGCACAGGAGCATCTCCATAAATAACAGCCATATGCAGCCCGAGTTGAAATGTAAAAACACTCGTATTTGCACACTGACATTGGTTCAACCTTGTTTCTCTGCTTGGGAAAAAGAATTGCGGGACGGTCTCGGCTACTAAATACCGCACCGGAGGAGTTGTAATAATAAGAAGAACTTGTACTAAGTAAGCCTGTGTGTTGCTACCAGCTACCAAGTTGAGTGAAGAGGAAGCAAGCAGTCAAGCCGTAGCAGCTCTGCATTTTTCCCGCACAAGAAGCGATTTGAACGCGAGCAGGCGTCTAACACAACACTGATAGTTAGCAAAAGTCATTCTGCTTTTACTCGGAACAACACGGCACGGCTAACTAACGGTAGCTTTGCTCTACAGCTCTGCTCCAATTTGCAGACAAAACTAGCATGGACTGTCCTTCCCGCCGCACCAGTACCTCGTCACATATGGGTATCCTGTTCGAATTAAACAAAGCGCCGCCGTTCAAGAGATAACGCGATTAAACCACAATTATTACTGTGATTTCCTCCGGCTTTTGCAGCAGAAAAAAAACCCTTTAGTCTCCGCCATTCCGAGCCTGTTTCCTTCCGTCTCTGGCTTGTCTTTAGTTTGACCTTTAGTTACCCGACACTAATATTGACGTAATTGTCATGGTAACAGGATCCCGCCTTCTACGTGCGGCCGTGTGCGTCCATGAAAGTTGCTGATGATGGAGGAAAAAAGCCTGGATTACAAGAAATCTCTTGTCATTGTGATTAAAGATAACAGCTTTAATATCATCGAAACGATGCGTCATTGATATTCAAACTTTTTATCATCCCACTAATACTTGTTTAAATTATTAAAACTATGGAAAGCCTTTTAACGTTTGCTTTTAATTCTCTAATTTCATGCTACTGGTATTCTTTACTGATACATTTTCTTTTAAATGGTTATTTTGTTTCTAGTAGCCTACCTTTTACGTGATATTGGCACTTTTAATTAGATATTAGGTGTCATTGTTTTACTAAAAGACAAGTTATCCATTAGGTACTATATTATGCACTATTAATCATTAATTTACTACTTGTTATTGTAATTCTTGTTTTAAGGCACTCGTGGTTATTCAACAGTAGCTCTTATTTATTAGATACTCATTTATTAGGTATTAATAAATATTACATATTTTTAACTGAAAGCTTTACAATAATATATTTGTGCATATTAGTCAGTACTGAAGCCAAATCTGGAACAAAAAACTTGCGAAACTTACTAATTTTCTTTTCGGCTTAGTCCTTTTATTTATCAGGGGTCGCCACAGTGGAATGAACCGCCAAATTGTCCAGCAAATGTTTTACGCAGCGGATGCCCATCCAGCCTCAAGCCATCACTGGGAAACACCCATACACACTCATTCACAACGGACAATTTAGCTTATTCAATTCACCTATATAGCATGTCTTTGGACTTGTGGAGAAAAATGGAGAACCCAGAGGAAACCCACGCAAACATGGGGAGAACATGCAAACTCCACACAGAAATGGTCCAAAAACTTATAGACGCAAATTTATGTTATAGAAAAATATTAAATACAAATTTAAAAAGAGGAAAAAATCAAAAGAAGCAAAAAAAAAAAAAAAAAAAAGGAAAAATTTAGTAGAAATTTTGTATGTAGTAATTTCTTTTAGCAATATTTTGGTTGAATTAAATTGTATTATCTTTCAATTTCTAAATATCTTTGGTGACTAAATGTTATTTTAATAAATATATGTTTAATAAATCAGTTTTTTTTTAAATGCGACTAAATACATTGCCTATATTTACTAAGAAATGGAGAAAAATATTCATGTTCAAAATGGGGTGTACTCAATTTTGCTGAGCACTAAATAACGCAATGTATATTGCAAAAAAACTAAATATCACATTTTGTCAGATTTTCCAGTATCTTGCAGCCCTAGTGACTAATAAATAGCGGACTTTTCAGATTATTAGTGACTGAACTATTATTGTTACTGGATCTGTCATTGAAATATCGACTGTTATGTATTTTAATGCAATTTTTGTTGTGGATATTATAAGATTAATTACTCAGTATTAGGCCCACACGGAATCTGTGCAGGCAGAATTCCGCATAATTTTAGCCCATCATTGATTCTTTTTATGTACTTGTGTAAATGTGTGTAATATCTATATTTATTCAGTTTTTAAATTAATTACAGTAATATTATTGACTAATATGAAAACATTTATATGATTTATTTACAATACAGATTATGAAGTAATATTATCTGTCTTTTAGTAGATCTATTATATAAGAGACTTGCTTTGTTTACCAAATAAAGAGGATCTAATTGGATTTGCATTGTAAACATTAAATAAAAGTTAAAAAGTTATTACTTTTTATTTAATATATTAAGGTTTTAGTTATGATTCTGCTAAAATAATTCAGCCTAAATTTGCAGATTTTTAACAAAATTCTGCGCAGAAATAGCAAAAAATGTTCGCAGGTTCTGTCTCTACTCATTATTCCAGTAGTGAGCATTCATTATTTACTAGTATTTATTTGTTAGATACTAGTACTTATTTTTTAGCATCTAGTACCTAGTTTTTACTAGTAGCTATTCAAAATACTAACTCATTTATTGGACACTCCTTTTGTAATTATGACCTTACTAAGTATCAGTGTCTTATGAATAACTACTCATATCTAGGCATGGGACAATAACTATTTATGTATACCACAGTTTGAAAAAGTCAAATGTTTTGTTATACTGTTCCTAAGGTATGTGTAGGATTTTCTTTAATGCTTTTTTGTTTGTTTGTTTGTTTTTTAGGACAACAGTATCTCCAGCAGAAAAGATATGCAAAGATGCCGTTGTAAATTGTAAAGAAATCTGTGTTTTTGAAACTCATGAAGACAGCAGAAGTCAATGATTCATTTAAATTATTCAGCCTGACATGTTTACTGCTACAAAATACTTTAAATGTTTCTCAAAATAAAATATATTATGTTCAAAGGGGATTTATTTTTACCCAAACATTTAAAAAGAATATATTTTAGAGCAGTAATCACAATACCAAGATGTTTTTATCCAAAGGTTATCATACTGTCAGATTTTTATACCGGCCCATGCCTACTCATATCTGATAAATAAATACCAATATCTAACAAATACATGTAGTATTGTTTAAAACAGCACTAGTAACTAAAACGTACTAGCACTGCTTGTCATATCAAAAGGCAAAACGTGAAACACAATGACCTTTATTGTAAGTTCACACTTGTTAGTTGGTGTTAAATTATACACACACACAATGTAAAAGGTCAAAGCGAAAACAGTCACATTCTTAAGATTTGCTGTAATTTAACATCATAGCCAATACATTCACCATATGGCCTTGTATATTGACGTATGTAAAATAAGCTGACGTTAATAATTCCAGCTCAGCAGTTTTGACACAGTACAGGCTCACTCATATATAGTCACTGCAAGCCCTAAATATACATTAGTCCAGGCTCATTCATTTCATCTTTACCTGTGTATGTTTGTTCTGGAATCACCTATTAGCACTGGAAGAGCAGTTATTGTATTAACACCCATGCTATAAATAGACTTTTGTAGGCAAAAGGAAAAAACCTGTGATCACAGCAGGGTTGATGTGTGATTCACTCAATTCAAGCATCTGCTTGTGGGTATCTTTTAACTGAACGTGGAGGTGTGTGTGCGCGTGTCTCAGGCTGGCAGCTCCAGAGCTCCTTCTTCCTCTCCATCCCCTCGATTTGCTTGAATTTCCATGAGCGTCCGGCCGAATTTACTCCAGTCGTCTGTATGTGGCACTGCCAGCTGCTAAAATAGGAACACAAACAACTTCTGCTTAATGCTAGAACAGAATGAGTGACTGGTGAAGCTTAACCTGATCTGTCTGTGTTTTCGACAATGAGTGACAACCTGAGCAGCATCATTCTGTATAAGCTGAGAATCATTTATTTGGGTTAAACTAGAAGATAATTGAGCAAAATAAAAGGTCACTTACAAAAGTGTCAATTTTTGCTATTTAAAATTTTAAATTAATTTAAATGATTTTAAAAAAATATTTGGTTTAAATGAATGAGTCAATATTTACTGGATGAATCAGTATTTTAGTCATCCCCTACTGCTGAAACAATGTTCTTGATATCATTTTTTTACCAAGTAGCTTTCAAAAGTGTTTTATTTTTTCAATAGAAGCTTTTTTCCATCACAGAAAATAAAATATAGTTAAAAATTATCTAACTCTTTTTTTTTTTTTACATATATATATATTTTTTAATTCTCTTGAAGATTTTGCAGTGACGTTTTATATACAGTTGACGTAAGAATTATTAGCCTTCCTGAATTATTAGCCCCTTATTAGTTAATTTTTTCCCCCAATTTCTGTTTAACGGAGAGCAGATATTTTTCAACACTTTTTTAAACATAATAGTTTTAATAACTCATCTCTAATAACTGATTTATTCTATCTTTGTCATGATGACAGTAAATAATATTTTACTAGATCTTTTCAAGACACTTACAGCTTAAAGTGACATTTAAAGGCTTAACTAGGTTAATTAGGTTAACTAGGCAGGTTTGAGTAATTAGGCAAGTAAGTTATTGTATAGCGATGGTTTGTTCTGTAGACTATCAA